GGTCAACAGAGACCATCATCAAGGCTGACCTTTTCTTCAGTCCAACCCTTACATATCTGCAGATCCCACACATCCTGCATGCAAACTATTCAGACTTTAGTATCTGACTGAGGCTAAAGTGCGTTATTTACCAAAACCAGCCACCACAGGGACAGCTGCTTTCATCAGTCTGTCTCACAGGTCCCACCTACTGTACCTTACTTGTAGAATATAGGTATAGTATATTCCAAAACAACATAAGAAAATATTTCTGTCCAGATTATTTGTCTAGAAAAAGTAGTAAAAACTTAATGATGTCATTTTGTCTATACGTATAATGTTTAGCTGAGGACACAGAGTTTTGGTGTGGGGAAAAAAAGAGACAAACAATTCAAACAAATCCTAAGCTCATCTCTAGTTCAATTTAAAGCTCCCATTAGAAAATGAAATGATAGAGAGAGTTAGAAATCACATTAGACAAAAGAGAATAAGTCATTGTCAAATATTATTTATCACAATGACTTTCTGTTTTCATATCTAAACTTTTCAACTTATAATCATTTAATGAAAGGAAAGTGGTTTAAAATTTGAAACATCAATTAAAATGTCAAATTAAATACTTCATATATTTCAATAGAATACAGATGTCATATTGTAAAAATACTGGACCCCATTTTTGTCGATTAAAGTACTAATCTAAATGCTCAGGTAGAATATTTCAGCTCGGTTTTGGTAATATGCGAAATGGGTTTTGTTAAATAAACTATTAACTATCAAACTTTTTTATATTTATTGATCCAGCTGTTTGACAGAATATTCTTACTCAGGTGTTTTTCTAAGAAATGCTTTTCTGTTTCTTTCCTATATAGAGCCACCTATAGAGCTAGTTTACTGTTACCTTCTCTAGCATCGGAAGTATTAATGGATCAGTGCTGCTATGTGAAATGGTAAATGGCCTGTGTTTTTATTGTGCTTTATCAAGTTCAATGAGCCCACAGCCCCTCACTATATATTCAAACTCGTCTGTCTTGCTTAACCCTGTTGGCCTCAGCAGAAGGCCCCTCACACTAAGCCTGGTTCAGTTATTTCTGTTAAATGGGACTTTTTCCTCTCCATCATTGCTGCATGCATGTTCCTAGTTCATTTGCCACATCTGCCAACATGCTTTATGGGAAGAACAAGTACTATAAAGTTAAAAGATAGATAACTTTGAACTAAGTTGTTTGTATATGATTGAATTATCTGGATGTGATAACATACTGTGAATTGCTGCTGTATAGATTATTCTATTAGATCTTGTTAATTGATCTAAAAAGAATTTCCTCACCAAAGCAAAGCTTAAGTTAAATCCCTTAATCTTAATAAACACATAATGTATGAATGAATTTTCTTCATGTTATCATGATTGCAGTTACCAACTAGATTCAAATAAAATGACCTCTTTAAAAAGCAGCTGTGATTTTTTTCTGGGTGTTTTTCTCAAAGTATGCTTATAGTCTCCTGGAGAGCACCGCCTGGTTACGCTCATCCCTTTTTCTTCCACATCAAGGATAAAAGCACCGACTGCATGCCCATTAGCCATTGCGCATCACTGTTGCCTTTGAAGATTTAATCAGTCAGATTTTCTTGATTAATACCGCTTCATGTACTTTCACTGTAAATAATTACAGATATGATTGCTCAC